GGACACCGCCACTGCTGCATTCGGTGGAGCTCTGTATGAGGCCACTAAGCGCTATACTGGCTGGGGGAAACACATGCGGACACGGCCACTGGGGCCTTCGGTGGAACTCCCTATAGGGCCACGAAGCGCTGTACTGGGTGGGGCAACCGCATGCGGACACGGCCAATGGGGCCTTCGGAGGAGCTTGGGACCACGAAGCGCTGTACTGGGTGGGGGAACCACATGCGGACACCGCCACTGGGGCCTTCGTGTGGAGCTACCAGTGAGACCACGAAACGCTGTACTGGGTGGGGCAACCGCAGGCGGACACGGCCACTGGGGCATTCGGTGGAGCTCCGTATGAGGCCACGAAGCGCTGTACTGGATGGGGGAACCGCATGCGGACACCGCCGCTGGGGCCTCCGGTGGAACTCCCTCTGGGGCCACGGAGCGTGTGAGGAGGTTAGCAGGGAGGAGGGGGAGGAAGAAGGAGGAGAGGAGGAGATGCGCGGTCCTGCCTCTGCAAGACGGGGACCCAGCACCACAGGATGCTTGGGCAGTCATACCTTGACGGTGGCACACCGTCGGGGGGAGCCCGTCAGCATGGTGCCAAAGCAGCACCGGCCCGTCGGACAGAGACCGAGGAGGCACGACGCTGACGGGCTCCTCGCGGCGACGCGCCACTCCTGCTCTCTGCTTATGTTGCCCCCATCGCACTTAAGGACTACATCCCAGAAATAATTTCGAGCACCCGGAAGTGTCGAAAGAGTGTCGAAAGAGTGTCGAAACAGCGTCGGATGAGTGTCTCCCAGGGCCCGGCACGTGAAAACCATCGAGTTTCGGTACTTGTCTGGTGCTCGAAATTCTTTCTGGTGGTCAAGGCTAAAGTAGGTTGGAACATCCTAGCTCTCTGCCCCTCCCGACTCGCCGCCACGGCCGGACTCGCGGCGGGATCTCCTGGCAGAGCGCGCCCTGGGAGCTGGGGAGGCGGTCGGCGGCGAGAACTGGCTGCCAGGCCCGGCGGGAGAGCGCTCGGCCAGCTGCAGGGGGGCGAGGCCGAACTCCGCTCGAGATCGGCCCCCCCGGGGCCCCTCCCAGCTCCAGCCCGTGCAGCGCTTCGCCGCGGGCCCCGAGGGCGGCCCCCGCGGAGGCCCGGAGGAGGCAGAGGAGCCGAGACCGCCTCGAGCCTGCCTCCCCCCCGCCCCTGCTGGCAGGGACCAGGGCTGGGCCACCTCAGACCCGCGGCCGGCTCTGTGAAGCGACTTCCTCCCTCTCCTTTTGCTCCTGTTGTCCGTCCTTTCTCGTCTTCTCTCCTCCTCCCTCCTCCTGCTGTTGCACTGCTGCTGGCCGCTGCCGTTTGGGGCCCTTGAGGCCCTTGAGCCGCCCCGAGCGGGAGAAAAGGACCGCCCCCTTCGCGAGCCCTTCCGGGCAACCCCGCCTAGCTCTCGCGCCGGATGGCTTTCGCGTGAGATATCCTCAGGCTCCAACCTGGGAGAGGTCCGCGGACCAGCGGCATGGGTATCCAGAGGCCTTCTAGATGGGGTCGGAGCACGTGGGGTCGGAGGATCGCGCCGCATCGCGGATAATTACATCGGCGATGCATCGGCGTTGCATCGGTGATGCACCGGCGATGCGTCGTCGACGTCGGCGATGCATCGGCGACGTCGACGTGAAGCAAATCGGGCCCCACATCGAGCCGCATCGGCAATGCATCGGCGATGCGGCGCGATCCTCCGACACAGTCTACTCGGGCCCCAGTTGGGAGGCCTAAATGGCATCTGTTCGGCCTCCCCGGCGCCCTCCGAAGCGGGCGCCACGTCCTCGAGCTCAGTCGGCTGCCTCACCATGACCAGCTTGCCGGTGACGTGGTTGTAGGCCACGAACCCGCCAGGTGCCGACCACTGCTGCCAGAAACTCTCCACCGCCACGGGCTCGTGCTCCTGGCCGGGCTCGACCTAAATGGTGTTCTCCGAATTCGTGATGCTCTCGCTTTCCGTCCTTTTGTCGTGGTCCCGCCCCTGTCGCAACACGAGACCGAAACGGAAACGGCCCAAGAAATCGCCAAAAAAAAACACCGTTCGGGTCGAGACCTGCTCCTTTAGAAAAAGAAAAGACGCCATGAACATAAACTTTTTGGCGCTCCGCGCGGAGTTCTTGGATCTGCGCTGGGACCCCCGGCTCTTGGAGCTGCGATGTTTACGGCGTTTTGCTCATCTTCCATACTCCTTCACGAAACCTATGTTGCATCACAGCAGCAATTCGGCCCTTGACTTTCGTCCTGGGTTCGGTTTAGTGAAGTGATGAATTTCGGGGTCCTCACGTGGGAAAACACATCGCTTCACTAATCTGGAGCCCCATGGGGCCTCAGTGGGCCCTGGGGCCCAAAATTAGTGACGTGAGGATTTTCGGGCCTCGGATCCTTGGCGAGCCGCACGGTCACGATCTCGCAGTAGTGCTTCTGCCCCAGCAAGTGCTCTGGGCACATGCTGCCGGTGTGCGGGCACAGCGCGCACTCGGCGCCCTTGGCGGGCCCCGAGTGCATGCGCGGCGCACTCTGGGCGAGGAGGCCGGGGATCGGATTCCGTCGGGCGTATCCTCCTACATAGACGAGCGCGTTCCACTACTTGCAAAGTGACTACTCGCAAATGGCCTGGATCCGCCGCATGAGATCTACGATAAATCACATCGAAGTACACATGTGTTTTTCGGACGCTTGCGAGTGTTCACTTTGCGAGTAGTGGAACGCGCTCGGCGACTACAGGCGGATTGTGGACCAAAAACAAAAGATACCCCAAAAATGCTCGAACACAATATTTCAGAGTACTTCGCCAACCGTCCCCAGACTAAGTTTAAAGTATGTTTGGATACTCCTCCTATAGAGGGACATGCCCGACTTAAGGATCGGATCGGAAGGAACATCATAGGGGATGAAGTGGACGACGGCGACGGGAGCGGGAGGCCGGGTAATGGGAGGGCGCGGGAGAGGACGAGGAGCAGGAGGAGAAGGGAGGGCGACCAGGCGGGAAGCGGGGGAGGGAAGATGGGGAGGGAAGATGGGCAGCACGACCCCTCGGGCCCTGCCAGACCGCGAGGCAGCACGCGCGCCATCTCCCTGCCCCCCGTGGACCATTCCCCAAAGAGGCTGCACCTCGTCGGGAGCCTTCCCGGAGCGCCAGAGCCGCCCAGGCTGGCCCTCTCCGGCAAGAGAACGCAAAGCAGGACAGGACGGTCCCCTCGTCTGGGCTCGCGCCTCGCGGGGCCCACCTCGTGGGTCGCCTTGCGTCGGCGGCGCGCCGAGGGGGGAATGTGAGAGGGGGCAGGCCTTTGTCGAAGGCGGCGGGGCTCATCAGCAGACCTCTGGCCTGTGGAGAAGCCCTCTGTGGCTTCCCAGAAGCGCAAACACTTCTTCAGAAGGCCAGAGTTGAGCAGGGACCGACCGCCCCGGCACTCCTGAAATTAGGCCTACCACGACACGTTCTCAGAACCCACAAACGCTTCCGGAACACAAGCAAGGTTCTTGGAGCACAAGCCGATGTGGCAAAGCGAGACAGACTCAGCCAGACATGCTCTGAGAGCACTTCGTGCAAAACGCAGGAGGTTGTTGGAACATTCTCTGGCGGGCCTATCGGCGAGCCCGCACGCTTCCGCGCCGAGCCTTCTGCGGAGGCCCGCTCCCTCTGCCGGATGCACAACGGGGCGCGCCGCCGACGTCGGGCTCCGTGCTGGCGGCTCGCGATCCAAAGGCGAGGGACTGCTCCTGGGTCGGGCAGGTCCACCTACAGCCGGATGTTCGACGAACCGTAAATCATAGGAACAAAACAACATGCTCAAACATAGTCAAGCAAGTCCAAACACACCGCCCACTAGCTTTTTTGTGTTCTATGTTTGAATACTCCCCTTGTAGAGGGGCAGGCACGACTTGAGACTACTTGTGAGGAACGTCTTTTTCCCCGCAGCGCGCACTTAGCCGGGCGTCTGGTACCGACCGCCCGAGGAGGAGGAAGGGGCAGGATCGGTCAGCACCGGCTCAGGAAGGCAGATCGGATCGGAATATCTGGGTCGGACCAGGCCGCATCGGCACGGAGCTGAACTCGAGCCGAGTAGACTGCGCCAGATCTGAATGCCCCACATCGCCACGCCATTGTCGGGTCGCATCGGACCCTCGGAACATCGGAGTCGAGCCGCATCGAGCCGGCTGGACCCGAGATCGAAGCGGGCCGATCGCGAGGCGGGAGAGCGGGACGCGGCCACGGGCAGCACCTGTGGCATCCGAATTGCGCACGCCGCGCGGGCGAGAGCGGGCGCACCCGTGCAGCAGCTGCCGAGCCCGCGCAGCCGCCGAATTCCTCGAGGGCTCTAGGGCCCCAGCGCCTGCCCCCCCTGACTGCCTACCAGACCACCCCAACCCAACCCGAAGAACCGAATTTCGGGTCGGGGGGGTACGGGTTGCACATGTGGCTTCTCGATGTTCCCCGACCCCCCCCCCCACCGGAGATGGAGGGCAGATCGAGGCCTTCGGGTTGGGTTGAGGTGGCTTGGTGGGTGGTGACCCCCGCTCGAGCGTCAGCCGCCCCGAACGAAGAGGCGGCGCAGGGCCGCGGCGGCCCCCCTGCTGGCGGCGCCGCAGGCCGCGTGCTGCGCCGCGCGCGCCGGGTGGCGGCCGTCGGGCGGCGCTCCGCCTCGCGCCGCCGCTGCTGAGAGGGCCGCCTCGAGCCATCGCCAGCTGGACCAGCCAAGACGTCCGCAGCGACAGCTCTGAGCGGACAGCTGGCCGATCCATCCGTCGCAATCCACCGGCAGGGATGGTCCTCGAGTCGTATGAGTGATTCGATCATCGAGGCTTTGCGCTCTCGCGGGGCCACCTTGGAGGAGGGCACCTCTCTGGCCCAGGCTGCGACGCGCGTGGTCCGCTCATCTTCGCGACGCTGTGGGGGAAGGCCTATAGATAGGAGGAGGATGATGATGAGGAGGAGGAGGAGGAGGATTTGGAGGAGGATTTGGAGGAGGAGGAGGAGGAGGTGGAGGAAGAGGAGGATTAGGAGGAGGAGGAGGAGGAGGAGGAGGATTAGGAGGAGGAGGAGGAGGAGGAAACCCTGCCTTGAACCTAGAAAAATTGGCACCTCTGGGGGCGCATAGTTTACTTCCCCTGGCGTCCGCCTGCGGGGCCGCCGCCGTTCTACTTCCGCCGGCCTTGCGGATGGCAACTCCTTCGACCCTCGAAGGCTAAGGCCGTGTCTGGAACGCCCTGCAGCTCGACAGAGAAAAAGCCAGGCTGCACAAGCAGAAACTCTCAAAGCTCCGCGCGGATTTCGTGGGTCTGCGCTCTGGACCCCCTCCCTGGCGCGCGCAGCGAGCCATCGGGGCGGCACCGCAGCGAGGCGCCGCCATAGGGGCCGCCATTGGGGCCGACACAGGAAATCCACGAGGATCTCCGACGGCTTCAACCTCTGCAGCTGCCGCTCTCCTTCTTCCCCAGAGATCCGACGTCATGATTTATGTGGGATCCCCAGAAGGGCCGACCCATTACCCAGGACCGGTTTGTCAATCCTGAGTCATTTTTTGACGGTCCCGCGGCCCAGTGAGGGCCCCTAGAAGCCGAAAATTGCAAAAAAACGTCCGTCGTGACTTTCTCAATGCGTTGGATCCCTGGGTCGCTTCGATGCGGGCCTCTCAGCCCCGGCGCCGCTGCGCCCGGGGCTCGGGGCGACCGGGACGCCGGCAGCGCCCGCGGGCGCGCCGGCGGGGCCGCACCCGCCGGCGGGGCCTCGGAGCCGCGGCCGCCGCGGGCGAGCCCGCGCGCCGCGGCGGCGGCCGCGCGCTCGCCGCGCTGCGTGGCCATGAGCCCCTGGGCCCACGGCGGGGCCGCCGCGACCGCGCCGCCCGCGGCGGGGCCGCGCGGCGGCCGCGCGGGCTCCGGGCGGCGTCGCCGCTGGCGGTCCTCCAGGCGGCGCTGCTCGTCGTCTAGGCGGTGTTCATCCTCCAGGCGGCGCCGCTCGTCCAGGTGCAGCTGCTGCTCCAGGTGGGGCTGCTCCTGGAGGCGGCGCTGTCCCTCCAGGCGGTGTTCATCCTCCAGGCGGCGCCGCTCGTCCAGGTGCAGCTGCTGCTCCAGGTGGGGCTGCTCCTGGAGGCGGCGCTGTCCCTCCAGGCGGTGCTCCTCCTCCAGGCGGCGCCGCTCGTCCAGGTGCAGCTGCTGCTCCAGGTGGGGCTGCTCCTGGAGGCGGCGCTGTCCCTCCAGGCGGTGCTCCTCCTCCAGGCGGCGCCGCTCGTCCAGGTGCGCTGCTCCAGCTGCTCCCTGTCCCTCCAGGCGGTGCTCCTCCTCCAGGCGGCGCCGCTCGTCCAGGTGCAGCTGCTGCTCCAGGTGGGGCTGCTCCTGGAGGCGGCGCTGTCCCTCCAGGCGGTGCTCCTCCTCCAGGCGGCGCCGCTCGTCCAGGTGTAGCTGCTGCTCCAGGTGGAGCTGCTCCTGTAGGCGGTGCTGCTCCTCCAGGCGGTGCTCCTCCTCCAGGCGGCGCTGCTCGTCCAGGTGCAGCTGCTGCTCGAGGTGGATCTGCTCCTGGAGGCGGCGCTGTCCCTCGAAAAGGCGCTCCTCCTCCAGGCGGCGCTGCTCGTCCAGGTAGCGCTGCTCCTCCAGGTGGAGCTGCTCCTGGAGGCGGCGCTGTCCCTCCAGGCGGCGCTCCTTGGGAAAAATAATACACTTCTCCCACCTCCCAGGGAACCTGCCGACAAGCGATTTCAAAAACGTGAAGGTGGTCTTTATTTTCCCACCCAGGGGGTGGAAAAGTTACCATGTCATCACACACACACGCCAGGGGATGATAAAGAATCGAGCTTCGAACGGTGGATGTGATCATACATCTCGTTCCGAGCTCCTCCTCCAGGCGGCGCCGCTCATCAAGGCGGCGCTGCTCACCCTCAGAACGCGTCACCCGCTCGGCCTCGGAGCGCGCCTCCTCTGCGGCGGCGCGGCGAGCTCCCTCTTCGGCCGCCCGCAGCTCCTCGCTCTGAACCCACTCTGGAGAAGAAGACGCCAAGAAGCGGCATATCGACAGAAACGTTCGGAGTTCCGCGCGGATGTCTCGGATCGGCGCCATGCCCCCCTCCCTGGCGCCCGTGGCACGCCAGGGGCGGCGCCCGAGGCGCCGCCAGAAGAAGGGCCCTGAAGCCGAGCCGAGAAGCCCGTGCGGAGATCCGAGCGCTTTTATCATGCTCGTGCAGCTTGAGTGAGGTCGGACATGTCCTGCTACAGATGGACTTTGGACGACCAATGAAATAAGCATGTTAAAAACCTATTCGTAGTTGTTCCAGGCTGCTTACGACCGCACCGCTGCGAGTCGGGCGACTGCCTCCTGCCAGCGACAGTGCGTGCAGCAGCCGCGCACTGCAACCGATGTGCCGTCCAAGGCACGGGTCTGACTTGACTTGACTTGGCAAAACATATCCAAACATAAAACGCAAACATGCCCCAACAGTCGCCACCTGACGATTTGTCTCACTACTGTTGGATAGATGCCTCTTGTAGAGGGA